AATTGGCATATTTCATTTCAGGTGAATGTACTTGTTATGAGCTATAGTTGCATATGGGTAGGAAGAAGGATGTAATGAAAATCAGTTAGTGTTACTATGGAATTATTAAGATCTTTGAAGATAAAAAAGCACTGTGCTGTATTTAAGTAATTTATTTTCTATATTTTCCCAAATCCAAGATGACTTTGAATTTAAGATAACTCCCCAATAATTAGGTTCTATATGTGGAAAATTATTTTCCACATATAGAACCTAATTATTGGGGGGTTGTCTTAAATTTGTCCTCCCCAAAGCAGCGGTGGGGACCAAGGGGCCTGTTCCCTCTGTACCATGCCCTTGTTTCCGCTGTACCTTCTACCTGCCCTAAGTGCCTGCCCTTCCCATTCCCCTCCCCCGCCCCCACATTTGAGTTGTTATGCTCATAAAAATAAACAAGTTAAACAAGTTCCTGAAACTGTTGCAATTGCACTGGCTACAAAGAATTAGTTTCAACCTGAAAGATATTACTAAGGGGCCAGAGCTCTTTCACACTCTTCCTAGCAAAACTAATGCAGAAGGCATGGCAGGGTGGCACTTCAGAGCAGTGGTTTTCAATCTTTTTTCATTTGCAGACCCTTACAAAATTTCAGATGGCTGTGCAGACTCCTTTGCATTGTAAGTGTGGGTATTCACATACTTTTGATCATAGTCATCTTTCGTGAACCCCTTGCACATAGTCTGCAGACCCCCAGGTTTGTCCATACAGCAGGTTGAAAACCACTGCTTTAGAGATTAACTTGTTCAAAAAGGCATAAGCTTTCCTAAGAGACATCTTATAAATCAAGAATCAAGATTTTGTTTTGATAATTAAGCTTGAATCAGTTTCATAAGTACTTGACTTTATTTCTAAATGAAAAATACCTGCTTTCCAGGTATTGATATGTGAAATGTTATACTACTGTAATAAATTCAAGCATAAAATATTTGATTCATACTTTCAAGTCTTACTGTTCACAATGAAAGAGCATGTAGGAGTACACCATGTGCTATTTAAAAACCAATATTTTGTCTACACTTTGTAAATTAATTTTTTTATTTTAAAGTTTAGTAGTGAACTGTAACATAAGGCATTTCTAGTGTTTTAACAGAAACATTTTTTAGATGGAAAAAATTAATTGAAATTTTAATGGTGAATAAATGAATGATGGGTATAATAGTATTGGTTTATAATTGATTTATAGTATGGGGCATGTACTTTGTCTTCACTGACAAGAAAAAGATCAATTTTAAGTTACTTATTTTTCTGTATGTGATGTCTTTTAAAGAGTGGTATATTAGGTCTTGATTTAATTTTCTTATTTATGTTTTTGAGATTAATGTTTCATGGTTTTACAGCCATAATTCTGATTTCATATATTATCATGTGTAGATAGCATGATTTTAAAATCATGCATCTTTTGGTAAGAGGTCTGTTCTTGCTCAGATTGGAATTCAAATTTTGAGTTCAATTTATGCAGTTATCTTTTGGAATTTGAGGGGAGTTAGTTTTGTAGGTAAGGGGTCAGGAGCTGTGTTAGATATTAACATCACACAGAAGTAAATATTGCTTCTAACTAGTGACTTACTTCATTTTTAGTAATTTTATGTTGATAGCTTATGCACTAAAGCAACCTCAACTAACTTTTTTTTTCTTTTCCTTTCCCTTTCCTGCCCATATTCATAGCCCATAAAATGTACCTTGAAGTTATAAAAAACCCCCAAGTATAGTATTTTAAGGCTCAGGTTCCCAAAGGCATTACCATTTATTTTTGTGGGAGGTAGGCACAAGTATACCTTTTAAAGATCTGGGCCTAAGTGTTTCTCACAACTTCTAAATTTACAAAAAGAAGCTGTAAAGTTCATTACAGATGCACTTTTATATGAGCTCCTTAGTAAAAGATTATTTTAGGGCCTGGATAATATTCTCATCATCAATATAGTTTACCCTTAGATTTTTTAGTGAATTATTGTTGTCACTGTCAAACCTGTTTCAGTAAAGAAACATGGTATGGACAGATGAGCATTTTAACTGCTTTAAAGAAGAGGTGCTACTCAGGAACACACCGCAGCTGTTATGCTGTAACTGTAAAGTATGCATGATTCTGTAGCGTTATGAGCTAAATTCTCCAGTTTTGACCCTGGATGAAGCAGGTTTAAGTTGGAACAATTCCTCTATTCTTGTGTTGCTACAGAATCATGTAGAGATAAATTACAAAATAACAGCTTGCACTGGTATACTTTAACTAGTGAATTGCCCATCAAGAATTACAGCGGGGACAGAGCGGGTGGCAAGGCCAGCTCCACTCCGCCACCACCCTGTGCTGCCACTGCCTCATGCATCTTAAAGCATGTGAACACCGTACTACTTCTGCTTGCACAGGGATCCTATCTCATTCATAGTACAAGATGACCCTTGTTTGCTCAATGGGTAGCCATCAGAAATACTGGCAGAAGCACTCTAGAGTGGTGGTTGTCAACCAGGGGTATGCATACCCCTAGGGATACTTAAAAAGGTCATAGGGGGTACGCAGAATGAATTAGTGGCCAGGAGTGCAGCCTGGCATTGTGGAGTAGCCGGGTCGGCTGGTAAGTCTGTTGTGGGGGAAGGGGCAGGGGGAAAGGAGGAGGGGTGGAGGGGAACTGCGGTGAGGGAGGGAGTGGGGTTGGGCAGGGGCAGGTGTTGCACAGTGGGGCCAGGGTGCAGGACAGAGCTTCAGCTCATCCGGGTGGGAGGGTGGCTCCCAACTCAATATGCACCTGGGAGAATATGGGGGTGTGTGCCCCCAGATCTGCTTGTGGGGCAGGGCAGGCTGCTGCTGTGAGCTGGGGCTGGGGCTGCGCTCGGTTCTTCCCAGCAGTGGGACTGGGCTGGGTTGCGCTTGGGATGGGCAGCAGTGGTGTTGGGAATGGGGGGGGGGGGGGCCCGCCCCCCCCCCCCCCCCCAATACACTACAAGATAGGGCTGGGATTCAGAGAGATCTATACAAATTGGAGGATTGGACCAAAATAAATCTGATGAACTTCAGTAAAGACAAGTGCAAAGTCCTGCACTTAGGACAGAACAATTACCAGTACAGGCTGGGAACTAACTGGCTAAGCAGCAGTTCTTCATAAAAGGACCTCGGTGTTACAGTGGACAGTAAACTGAATATGTGCCCTTATGGTGAAGACGGCTAACAGCATACTTGGCTTCATTAGTACCAGTGTGGTCAGCCAGTCAAGGGAAGTAATCCTTCCCTTCTGTTGGGCACTGGTGAGGCCACATCTAGAGTACTGTGTCCAATTTTGGGCCCTTCGCTGCAGACAGGATGTAGACAAATTGGAGAGAGTCCAGTGGAGGGTAGCGAAAATTGTTAGGGGGTGGGGCACAGGCCTTCTGGGGAGAGGCTGAGGGAACTGGGCTTATTTAGTTTGGAGAAGAGAAGATTGAGGGGATTAAATAGCAGCCTTTAACTACCTAAAGGGGCGGGGGGTTCCAAAGAAGGTGAAGCTGGATTGTTCTTAGTGGTGGCAGATGACCGGACAAGGAACAATGGTCTCAAGTTGCAGCAAGGGAAGTTTAAGTTAGATATTAGAAAAAACTTTCTGACTAGCAGGTTGGTGAAGCACTGGACCAGGTTACCCAGAGGGGTTGTGGACTCCATTCTTGGAGGTTTTTAGGGCTTGGCTTGACAAAGCTCAGGCTGGAATGATCTAGCAGGGGCTGGTCCTGCTTTGAGCAGGGGGTTGGACTAGATCAGGGGTCAGCAACCCCTGGCATGTGTGCCGAGCATGGCACGCAAGGCCATTTTGCTTGGCACGCCACTGCCAGCCTGGGCTCTAAGCAGCTGCTGCCAGCCATGGAGCCCAGGCTGCTGCCAGCAGGTAGCTGGGAGGCTGCAAGCCCTCCTGCAAGCATACTGGGCTCTGTGGGCCTGCTGCAGCTAGGAGGCTGCAAACAGCTGCTCCAGTCCAGCATGTCAGCACTCTAGCACCTTCCAAGGTAGTCATTATGGTTTTTTTGACACTCCAGCCAAAAAACGTTGCCTACCCCTGGACTAGATGATCTCTTTAGAACCCTAATTTCCTATGATTCTATGATGCCTGTCCACTCTACAGTGCCCCTGTCTGCAGTCTTTCCTGCTGCTCTTTCATGCTTCTCTGTCTCTTACTGCAGAGGGGCCAGGGATCAGTGGAAAGGGTAAAGCTCAGGCCGTTTGGGTGTTCCAGGGGCAGCATGGATGGGTGGAGATTTGGGGCCTGACAGGGGACTGGATTGAGTTCTGCAGCCCGTGTCAGCAAAAGGTTGCTGACCCCTAGTGTAAAGGATTGGATTTGAAAAACTGCTAGCCCTGCACTCTGATTATTGCATGATTTGTATTGCTAAAATTCTGGGCTAGTCCATTGTATTACTAGGTGTGCCTGTTTATTCTGTGGTTTTCTTTCTTTTTAGTTGAAAAACAGCAGTTTTAGTTTGCTTAAGTTTTTTTTTTTGTACTTAATTGCCTTAAAAAGGATAAAGAAGAGACTTATTTCTTTCAAAACTGAAAGATAACTCCTTAGATGCATTTATATACTGCTCATAAATGTGTACAGCACTGTGTTGATATTTTAATAATTGGACCTGTCATGTTAAATAAGCAAGGAAAATGTGCTTCACTCATAACCACATTGTATTGTTTAAAAGGTCTGCTGTTTCATAGTCACATGCAAAACGTTAGCAGTAACAGTTGTGCCTGAACTAGATGTTTAAGGAGAATGCACCTTCTCTTTCTTACAGCTAATCTGTTTGAGATAAAGCTTCCCACAACTTGATGGGTTTATGTTTGGCTAGTTTTTAGTTGTTGACAGAGCAATTGTTAGGCAAACACTACAAATCAGTGGTGGTTACAGTGAATATGTTCTGGTTTGTCTTGTACATGATTTCATGATTAATAAATAAGGAAAGCCCTGAATTCTTATATTTGGTTACCAGACCTGACAAGTGTTTTTCTTCTTTACAGATATTTTCCAATTTATCGTTGAATGAGCGCTGTCTTTCAGCATCATTAGTATGTAAATACTGGCGTGACCTCTGTTTAGACTTCCAGTTTTGGAAGCAACTGGACCTCAGTAGTCGTCAGCAGGTATGGTGGAGCACTGTGTGGATTATGAAATGCAGTTATGAAAATGGATTGTATGTGACTAATTCAAAATTTGTTCTTAAGACTTTTTCTTGCTTTTGGCCAAGTGTCTCATGTTAGATGGTGCCTTCCTTACTTCTACTTTTACACTTCTGTTTTGGTAGTTTTCATTTTTTCTAGTGGACTTTTGGTAAAAACTGAAATCCTTTGTTGGAATAGTGTGAGAACGTGGCTTAGTTAAAATGCTGTGCATTGCTTTTCTCAGCTACTCAGGGTATAGTTCTTGTGATTAAGAGTAACTTTCAAATATTTGGCCTTGGTTGAGATGCCTGCTTTATTTAGCTTATGATCGGAATTGGTGAAGGGTTGCCAGTAGTTTGTAATTTTGGTTATGGTTGTCCAGCTGGTGCTTGGTTCAGTTTTATCTGGGGCAGAGATGTAGCTTTTATGACCCTGCTCACCAGTAGGAGGATTCTTTTTTTTGTGTGTCTCCTTGATGACACAAGCCTGGAATAAAATTGGTTTGGGAGGGCTCTAAAGTTCATTTGGTTACTTAATTGAGTTTTTTGTATGTAACAGAATTTTTATTGGGCCTGCCCTTGGGTCATCCGTAATTATTCTTCTGAGTAATTCTTTTAATGTCTTCTCTAAACTTTTGTGTTATGGTTTTTATATTATACTCTATCAGACCATGAGGTTAGCAGTGATTTCAGGTTCCAGCTTGGAGCACTGGTTGTACTCTGAAGTTCACCTTCCATATATGAAAGTAATACCATATTAACCTGAATTCAAGATGACCCCGATTTTAAGATGACCCCTTCACCAATAATTAGATTCTATACATGGAAAATTTATAAAATTGTTTTGGAGGGTTGTCTTAATTCTTCCCCCTACCACTGGTGCAGTGGAGAAAGTGGTAGGGGTGGATAGGTGATGGGTGAGATGGGGAGGACAAGTGAAGGTGGTTCAAGCAGCTTGACCCCTGCCCCTTGCCCCTGTTTTCCCTTCAGCCTCTGGGCCTGGGACCTAGCTGGAGTTGCTGCTGCTATCGGGCCGGGCCAGGGCTGGAACAAGCATGTTCTCCCGAGCTGGGCAGGGTGAAGCCTGCTGGAGCAAGGGGAAGTGGCTGAGGAGATAAATGGGGAGCCTGAGCTTGTGGTGGTGCTGGGGTGGCAGGCAGTGGGGCAGAGGCAGTGGGGATGCAGGCAGCAGCTGCAGCTCTCTTCCCTGTGCCAGGGATGGAGCTGGAACTAGAGCCGGAACAGCTGCCTGCATCTTGTACTCAAATCCAAGACAATGGGATTTTTCCCCATCTTAAATGGGGTGGGGACCTTGTCTTGGATTTGAATAAATATGGTTGTTTTGTCATGTGCAGCGCATTCCCCTCCCCCTTGTTTGTGATCAAGTTGTAGATTTAGTTCTTTATGGGGGAAGTGTTATTTTAATGACTTGATCTAAGAGGTTTGTAATTGAGTTTACCTATTATATGAGTCCCTGCCATTAAAATATTCAGACAATTATTTAATGGAATATACTAAATCAGTCTATTCCACAGAAGCATCCTTTGTCATCGTATTTTTTCCCTTGGAAGTCGCTATGTTTTTACAGCTAACCATTGACTGATGAAGTAACAAGAGAGAAGCTAGATTGCCATTACTGAAAAGACAGATTGTGTCCAGCATAGAAAATGTTTATTTCTGAAAGGGACAGAGGCAAAGATTTCTTTATTTTATCTGCCCACAGGAAGAATAATTCTAATCTGCTTTAAATGACAGATGAGTATTATAAAGTCAGCTTGGTTGGTTTTGCTTCTGTTTTCTAAAAGTAAATTCTTTCTCTTCCTTGCTATGTGGAATCTTCTCTTTGTTTTCATGATATAGTTAGTTTTACACTGTGTCATTATTCAGTAACTTGATAAAATGTGTTTTTTTCTTTCATTGGCTTAAACAGCAGGGGTTGAGTTGTGTTCATCATCTTGGACAGGATTTGCATTTTGCTAATATCTTGATGATATGTGTCAAGGTGCCAGAGAAAAAGGCAGCATGTAGTACTAGCTAGTTGATAAACATATGCATGGATTAACTGACACCTTAAAAAAATCAAATTGTCCATTCTACCTTTGCTTCTTTCATTTCCCTGTCAGTGTCTTGGATCACTGGTTATCACTGACTTTTTTAAACTGCTGCAGATTTTGACAAATCAGTTGTTGCTGACATTGTTGCAGTTACTGACATTTGTCTGACTATTGTTGGCAACCAGTATGGAATGTAATCCATACCTTTTTGTTTGAAGAGTGATAAGTGGCTCCAGAAAACAAAACCCTTACAATTTGTTATTGTGACAGAAGAAAAAAACTACACACAAATGAGAATTTATTTGCCCTTTTCTTTGAAATAAGGGTTTCCTTAATTCGCAGGGATTAGGACAGGTTTCTTAGCAAGGTAACCATAACATTGATTTCAGTGATCTGTGCCTGGAATCTGTGTAAACTAAATGTGCCCCCCCTCCCCATGGTTGATAGAAATACTTCTTCCAACCAAGTCATAGTTTTTGTGGTTTCAAATATGTTCCTCTACTGTTTTTTTCAAGATATTTTTAATCAAAGTTAAAATTAACTATGAGGATATTAAACTGAGAATTTGGATTTGTTGACAGGTCAACGACGAGTTATTGGAAAAAATTGCATCAAGAAGCCAGAACATAACTGAAATCAATATTTCTGATTGTCGCAACGTATCAGATACAGGAGTGTGTGTGCTAGCTTTTAAATGTCCTGGACTCCTAAGGTATACTGCTTACAGGTGTAAACAGCTTTCTGACACATCTATCATTGCAGTTGCCTCTCAGTGTCCTCTGCTACAGAAAGTACATGTAGGCAATCAAGACAGACTTACTGATGAAGGACTCAAACAGGTAACATTACATTTTATTCGAAATAAATTTGTTGATGCCGAATTTAATGGTTTTTACAGTGTTATGCTTTCTTCTAGAATTGGGCTAGTCCTTTTAGCTAAATGAAGTTTACTGTGAAAGAAGTTAACAAAAGGGTCAGGAAGTTTGGTGTTTCTCTTGATGCATAGTATGAAATAAATACTCTTTTATCTAAATCCTACCAAAATGGAGCAAAAGATATTGAAATATATGCATTAGACCAGGAGCAGAAGTTATTCGTTGGTCACTGTGAGTTTCTCTTAAGGTTATCCTTTTGCAAATTAACGCCATCTTTTGAGCAGTTCTTTATAGGGAATAAAGCAATTTGGCTGTAAAAAAGTTAAACTGATATTTTAACTTTTGTATTTGGTCAGGGGGCAGGAGTTCTGGTTATAGAGTCAGAAATGAATTCTTTGCTCTGCTCTGCTTTCCTTCATCCTAAATAATCCTGGGGCTCCTAATTTCCTTTTGTAGGTTACAGAGATACTTTTCTGGTAACTGGACATTAGAGGGCATTAAAAGAAATCTCCATCCAGTTACTTTTTAATGGATCCTTTTTAATCTTTTATTTCTTTCACTTCTATCCTTTTCATAATTTCTGCCTCTGAAGTAACAGGATTTTTAAAGGGTTAAACCCAAGGTCTGTTGAAATATGCTGGAGAGATCCAAGGAAGAGGGCTATGCCCCCTGCTACAGAGGAAGGTAAAAACCCTCACAATGCTTACTACTCTTATCACGGGGTAAAATTCCTTACTTGCTCCAGTTGTGGCAGTTGGTGTGACCCTGAGCAGAGGGGCAAGACCATCTAGCCAGGAACCTCTGGGTCTTAGTTTCAACAGGAGCACTGTCACACCCCTGTCAGAATCCCCAGCCTTTCCTGCAGCTAGCACCCAAGGTTAACCCCCCACCTCCCAACACATATAGTAAACAGGAAGGGAAAATAACTCCTTTCCAGCTTCATGTGGCAACCAGAAGTGTGAGTAATACTTGTAGTATACCACAGGCATAGCTATTTCTAGATCCTCCCTGACCAGTACTTATCCCGACCCTTTCTGAACACCTCCAGCATTGGAGAATGCCACAACTTCCCTAGGCAGTCTATTCCACTGCCTTGCTGTTCTAACAGTGAAGGTTTTTTCCCTTGACATTGGGCTCCTGTAGATGTGCAGGGAGCCTGCTCTGATGTGCTAGAAATCCAGTGAGTCAGAGCAGACTTGATTAATTGAATCTGCTGGAGCATGGAAATTGGTGTGCTCTGGTGGCTTTTCCTGTCACGTGTATCAGCGTCTCTGTGCTGAAAAAATGGTAGTAGGGTGCTTTGAAACGCATTCAATGAACTTTAGTTCAAAGTGCCCTGCCGCCACCTTTTCAGTGCGGGGATGCTGATACAAGGTGATGTGTGGGTACTTTTAATTGGTGCGACTTACTAATTAAAAGTGCCTGGCACTGCATCCCAGAGCACATGCAAAAATGCCCATTGAGTCCAAACCTGCTTTGCTTTTTTCTCTCTGCAGCAGGAGAGAAAAGGTCCTTTCTCTTTATGGCATCCCTTCATATTTTTGAAGAAGATCAAGACCCCTCCTAAGAACCTTTTCCGCAAGCTGAACTTGCCCAAAACTGCACACAGTAATCTAGATGAGGCATAACCAGTTCAATCTTTTTGGGTTTAGGAGTGAACATAATTTAGTACCTATGACCTGTAAATTAAAATAAAATCTCTGAGGCAAATCTTCCTTTTTAAAAACAGTCCTTTTGTGTTGCTTTTGATGGCTCTTGGTGTCTCCAAAGCAATACCTGTGCTGGCAGGGCACAGTGTTCACTTGTGGTCATTAATAGGGCTGAAGCTACTGACCACAAGAATGGTGTGTATACACATTTTGTGATAGCTTCCTTACAAAGGCAGAAACCTTCTGTTATTTGCTGTATGATAGGCTTCTTGTGGGTCAATTGCATATGTGGATATGCTTACTGTTCTAGCTCAGAACCTGAGTTCTGTCAGCAAAACTGTATGGTGCAGACCAAGCCATCATTTTTGTTTCATTAAAGGGAAGTTTTAATCTGCAATGACTGTTACAAGAACAAAAAGTTTTCATGAAAGCAGAGTTCATCATTAGGCATATTCTGCAAATTGTTACATCATTTCAACCCCATTTTAAGTTTTTGGAAATATTAATCAGCTTGAGAAAAAATGAGAATACTACATTTGTTATTTCTGATCTTAACATGATTTTGTTTAGGGCATTCT